ATTTGCCCTGATCTCAGTCCTTGCCACATTTATTGCCCTGACTTGACTTCCTGTGCATTGGGACCAGAAACATGGGACATTGCAGAATTCTTCTACTTTAAAATTGCCAATTTGACATTATGTATTAAAAGTCAAATTTATCTTTGAAAAATGGTATTTATCTTTGAAAAATGATCAATGCTATCTACAAAGATTTAGTTCATAATGTGTTTATTATATGATTACTTATTTTGGAAAACATCGATGATGACTTATGATTAAAAAAACAGGACTTAATGGAAAAGGATAATTTATGTTAGTATATTATGCAGTCTTTAGAAATGATATAGAATTATATATATTGTCATAGATGTATGTTCATGTCATGTTTTCAAAAAAGGGTACAATATAGTATTGCTATTTTAATTCTATTTTAACATAATATATATTTAAACATGAAAAATGTTTTAAAAGTAAGCAATAAAATATAATCCCTAACTATTTCTCAGTGGCAATATTTTTATTATTTCTGTGTGGCAGGAAAGTAATTTTTATTTTCTCCTTTGTGCACATTTGTGTTTTCTATTTTATCTTCAATAGCAAGTGTAATAGAGAATAAAAAGTTAATATTAAAAAATTCCAAATATGTGGAAGTGTGAAAAATACGATATTTTTGGGAGTGCTTTTACCGTATCTGTCTTATAATGAGTAGCCTTCTCAGTGAGGTGATGGACCCTGCTGTTGAATGTGGGGCGTGAAGGGGGAATTGATCAGAGACTCAAGTGTCAGGTAGAGTGATGGGCTAGATGCCATTTAAGGTCCTTTCCAACACAGAGGCTGTAATTCATTCAGAACTGCCACATAATGAACTGTTCAAGCAGAGGTTGTGCGGCTCCTTTGTGGGGGAGGGTGAGCCAGATACACCCTAATGGCTTCTCTCATTTTATATTATTGCACCTAGGAAATAGAACAGCTCATTCTGGAATACACACAGATAAATTAGGTGTTTCTAAATATGTTTTGTCACATTGTTTATAATGTCACATAAACTTTTAATAAAAAGTGAACATTTTTTAGGACAAATTTTGCAAAGCTTCACACACCATCATGCACACAATAGACAGTCAATAAATGTGTTAATTAACTAACGAAAATAGCAACTGTAAGGCAGACAGATCTAAAGGGATGTGGAACTGCGTCCCGCTCACAGACTGGCACTCTCGCCTGCGATTCTCCTTCCCTTAAGAAATCGGAGGTGGAGCCAGGCTCATGTGGAGATGAGGCATTTTGCCAGAAGAGGAAGGACTTGGGCCTGAAGGTGTCTGGGTCTCTCCTCTAATCCAAGCCACATGGAAAGGTAGCTGGGCTTGGCTCTACCTGCTTTACTATGAAGTTGAGCAACTCAAAATACAGTGATTTAGGTCTTGAAAGTCTAATCAGAATATGACAGATGAGATGGTTTTCACACTTGGAGGAGTCCTTGTTACCCTAGTTAGCTGGGGACAGTGTTTGCTATATGTATGAGGACAACCCCCTAACTTCTGACCTCCCCAGTAGTCTCATGAGGTGTGAGACAAGAAAAAAATAATTAGCAACTTCTTTCAGCTCTTTCATTTCTTTTATAAAGTATTTATGGTAAATTGTTGGCAAAAGGGGCAATGCATGGGGTTTTTACAGGATGAAGAAATCAGAATAGAAGCAGGTGTAGGTGTTTTTGCTGCTCAGCAAAGCCTTCCTGGGCACATGACCTGTGGGAAGGCATTTTTTTCATAATTCACTCAGCACATGACAGCCAAATACACTTATAGAGTGTTGAATGAGGTTTTCCAATAACGATAAGTAAAGGTGGAGATTGGAAATGAACTAAAGCCATTAGAAAAAGTGAAAATGTTTGGATTGGTAGATTGACGCCCACTCTCTATCAGGAGAAGTTTTGATTTTTGTTTGTTTGTTTGTTTGTTTTACCTGCATGGTCTCTCTAGAAGGAAGCATTTCTCCATGAAGACTCCCTTGAATGGGCTGCACACATAGCCATTTGAGCCAGGTGGCTGCTGCATGCAGCCTGGCGACGGTTCACACACTCACTGTGAAGGTTACAGGGTGTGCTGGGCTGTGGTCCTGGGGAAGGATTTTCACAGCTAACGGTGTTTTTTTGGTTTGTTTGTTTTTCAAGGCTATGTCAACTTCTTTAAGGAGAATATAATTTTTAAGCATCAGATTTTAAATGTCTTATTTCTTGTCTGATTTTCTTACTAGTTTTCAAAAAGTGTCCTCCAGGGAGTAGTAGATGGTTGAAGATGGTTAAATAATTTTAGACATAGTCATACATGGAAATAACTTGCAGACTTAGGACCACTCTCTACTTGCTAAATAAAAATATCTTAAAGATTTAAATTCAGAGCTGTTTGCAAATATTTCACAGGTTTCATGCCATTGATTATTTGCATTCATTACAGAAAGTTGTGTTTTTACATATAAAACCCAAGAATCTTTTGTCATAAACACATATGAAAATATATGTCAGACTAGGTTCTACCACATTTATTTTTCTTATCTTAGAGGAGAAAAGCTCTGTTCTTGGAATTCACATCAATTTAATTTATAAGCTGATGCCTTTGTCAGTGGGATCAACTATCAAGAGGAGGGTTGAATTTAGAAGCCTTTCTGAAGATGGGTTTCTTTTCAAATTGCAAAAGGATTTAGAAAGAAAGCGTTGCCTGAGCCAGTTTTCATTTGCTGGGAGGTTGTGTGGTTGTTGTTTACTGGCAGGTATTTCTTCTCTTTGGTTTCTAACACAACTTTCTGTCCACCTTCCTTGTTATTAAATGGCAGCAATAAGATTAGCCCAGCTGGCTCACTCCTCATCTCGTGCTGCATGACTTGCATTGATCCTAGTTGATCTTTATACCAACCCGTCTGACCACAATGGGAGTGACACAGAATGTGTTTTCTCTACGGCTTTCTGGTTCTGACAGCAAGGCTTGCCTTGGCCAAGGATAGGATCTGGCTACCCAAGTCTGTAGCAAACCTGATGTAAATGTGAGGGTCATAGATATTTGGAGACACCGGTGTCAGGGAACAGCCACAACTCTAAGAAACATAAATTGTGATTCCCATGTTTAGGATGAGTAATCTAAAAAAGACTAAAGCTTGTCTTTTTTTTTTCCTATAAAACTTTACTTAAAACTCTCAAACTGAAAAAGTGATCTCATGTTCTTATACTTTCTCTCACGTTTCCTCCTCTATCTCCATCATCCTTAGGGTAAAACCTTACTATGGTTTTCTAAATCTTTTAGAAAACTAAAGGAGATGCTCAGTAATCTTGTGCCAGAGGAAGGTGGCTTGCAACTCTCCACATTTTTGCTGGGATTTTCCTTTTCTAAAGAGTTTTCCTTGTGTAACTGTTCTGGAAATGAGTACTAGAGTCTTTGACAGAGATTTTGTTTGATGTTGCCTTTCGACTTGTATGCTCATTTACAGACCATTTCCTAATGCATATGTCTGCTCTATAAGTTTCCTGGGCAGACATTGAGGTAAGGACGAAATAGAGCTGTCAAGGAATTTGGAGATCATCTAGTTTGGTTTGTGGCCTTTACATTTGACAAAGATTAAGTGACTTGCACAAGGTCTCACAGCAAAAAAGTGAGATAATCAAAGCCAGTATTTCCCTATGTAACTTTTCCCACTAAACATAGTCGCCCGCAGCTAATTTATATGCCTTGCCTTCTTCAAGCTCTTCTCTTCTGTTTCTGTTCAAATGCCCCACTTCGGCTTTCTTCGACTCTGCTCCTCTAACATTTGAAAATCACACCCCATGGATCTCTTTGACCCTTTGCTCAAATTTCTTGGACCAAAGCTATTTTAGCTTGAAGCCAGGGTTGGGCCAGGAATTCATAAATAAATGGGTCACTGGCTACCAGAGCATCCACCATCAATCTTATAATATTTCTCCCTCCCCAGCATCCAGTTAAAGCACTCAGCCTAAGCTAATGTGTTCCTTCGAATAAAAATTATAGAGACATTATAAGGATTCCCCAGACCAACAAGATCAAGTCTCAAGTTAGAACATGGCTCAGAACATAACAGCAATGTGTGTACACACAGAGGAAGTCACAGCAAGGCTCTGCTGAGATTGAAACAAAATGAACACATTATAATACACTGACTGTTTAATGACATCTGTTTAGTTACAGGATTGTCAAATTACCAGGAAATTCTTTATTTAGAAAATGGCTACCTGTTTATCATCCATCTACCCATTTATTCACCTATCTATTCACTGGTCTGTTTAATCTTCTTCTTGCTTCTAGAAAAGGTTTGAGAGCAGACCCTAAGGAAACATCAGGGAAGATCTATTAAAAATGGAATGGTCTTACTGACGAGATTATCAAACAAGATAGCAATACATAGAAATATTAATCTGATAATAATATTTGTTTTATAAATCTCAGTAGTATATAAACAATATATTGTTAAATATTAAAATTGTTTTCATGCGACCTTCTTTTTTTAAATATTAAGATAATCCCTACTATTTTCTTTTAATCTCTCTCTCTCTCTCTCTGTTTCTTAATGTCAAAAGGAAATGGTAGAAATTACCCTACTATTCATGTGTGTGTGTGTGTGTGTGTGTGTGTGTGTGTGTGTGTGTGTGTGTGTATGAGAGAGAGAACATGCTATAGCTTTTTTTTTTCAAATTTTTGGAAATTAGCATACCAACTAGAAAGCCTCAATTGACTCTATTCTCATATTGACCAAGTATAAAATCATAAACACTTTTTCCTACCCAGAAGGCTGCTTGAGAACAAAAAAGAATTGTCTTTTTATAAATTAGTCCTGACAAGCGATGGTAAAGAAGAAAATATGCATCATTCACAAATTCATGTGCCAAAAATAGCTGACATGTAACAGAGAACCCCATGGCCTGTGTCAGCAAAGGGTATTAGAACAGTTCCTTGGATGTGACAAAAGTAGCCAGTCAGTCTTTCCCCAAATTCAGAAACCAAATTGCAAGCCCTTACCTTGGAGGGCCTGTAAGCTATGAGTCTGTACGATAATGCAGAGCTGCAGGACCAGCTGTGGAGCACTTTCCAGAAAGGTGGCTAGCAAATGCAGCATACTCACATCTGCATACTCATACACCATTTTCCAATAAAACCTCCATCTGTCATTCTCCCCACTCTGTCGGCTTCGAATACCTAAGTATATTGTGTGGAAATATCTAGAAAGAAAACATGGAGAATAAAAAAGAGATGAGTGATAATTTGTAATTCAAACACCAGGGCTGTTTTTCTTTTCTGCAAGCTACCATATGCAAGCGCACACAAGAAACAATTACCCTAGTGGCTTATAATTTAAGGCCCAAAGTTAACTGTTTAAGAGTTTCCCCATTCTTAAATGTTCACTTTGAGAAGTCACCGCAATTTCGGTCCTCATTAATGACAGTCATTGAATTCTAATATAAAGGGTTGAGGTGAAATGTGTTGGAGACTCAGGTGTAGAAGGGATTTGCTACTTTGAAAATCTACACACATACTTGTCAGTTTTTCTATGTGCTTAGCAGTATTCAGGAGATGGGTTTCTCCTAGGTCATGATGCAAGTATAAGGTACTAGAATGTATTGTTTGTAAACCTTCCTGATGTATTTAAAGAAACTGATTGGAAATTTCAAATACATGCAAAAGGAGAAAAAAATAGTGTATTAAATCCATTATACCTTTCCCCCAGATTATCAATACACTGACAATCTTTTTTCATTTCTATCTCACTTATTCCCTGACACTAGATTATTTTAAAACAAATCCGAGGCTTCATATCATTCATCTGTAAATATTTTATTAAAATAATTTACAAACACAAGTACGATATCATTATTACACTTATAAATAAGGATAGTTTATTAATATTATCAAATACTCGGTGTTCATATTTTCCTTTATCATATTTTTTTATAGTTGGTTTAAAATATGATCCAAACAAGGCCTATATGTGGTAATTATTTGATATGTATCTTAAGTCTTTTTTACACCATGAATTCCTCATCCATTTCTTTTCTATTTCTTGCATATTTTTCATTGTCTTGATTTTAATGATTTTACTCATGTGGTGTGGTCAATATATTTGTTCTTTGTGTTTTCTTCAATTGTGTCGTTTGTGTTAAAATTGCGATCAGATTCGCATTTGATCATTTTTAGCAAGTGATGTTGAGTATTTTCCTGAGGAGGCACTAATGTTCTATGATGTCATCATTCACTGATGATCATTTCCTAGATTCACTCATTCTTTAGGGGTTGAAAAATACTGATATTCCGAATCTGTCATCCTTTATTATTTTATTGACTAGATTACTTCTGCAGCCCTTATGTCAATATATGTACAATATGTTTAGTTGTCGGAAACTTGTTCTCCTTTTAAAAAGTTGCATAGGGACACTGTTCTCAGAGTTCTTGCATATTTAGTATGTGGTTATTAATCTTGCCTTAGGTGAGGATAAAGTTCCTTTTGTTATGCAGTCTCACAATATCCAATGACGATCAGTGCCCATTTCAAAAATTTGTAAAAGAACTGCACCTACCCAATACAGAAACTCTCAAATGCCATCAGGGAGGATAGTAGGGATATATAGCAAGACATGCAAGAGCAGAAAAGCCTTCGCGCTGGAAAGTTCACACTGGAGAGTTCAGTTGGATGGCTGTAAAATCCATGCGCATGCCATGCAAGATTCAAAATCTGCAATTTATTTATTGGAACATATTAAATCTGTTACTTCATTGCTTACTAGCATAAAGTGTCCTCATGAAAATGTCTGATAAAAATCTGATATTCTTCCTCTTTTTTGCTTGAATATCCAAAAAATATCTTGTTTATTTTTAAAGACCTATAGTTCTTTAGAATGTTATCTTGATATTGGCTGTTCTGCATCCAATTTCTCAGGAATATGGTATGCTTCTTCATTACGTCATTTCAAGTTTTCTCAAACTACGGTATTTAGTATTTTTTTTCTAGTCCATTGCTTTGATTTCCTTACTCTTTACAAAAATAAATAGGGATCTCCTATTTATATATGTCATGTCTTCTTTATTTTCCATCTCTATCAGCTTCTCTGAATACTTTAATCTCAAATTAATTTTGATATAAAAATTTTTCTTCTTTTTTATCTTCTATTCACCTTCTAACTATGGTGTTTGAATAGTGTCACACCCTTCTAGTTGAGTTTTCATTTCTGAGCTAATTTTTAAAAAAAATTAGAATTCTATATTGTTATATCATATTGCTAAATATTACATGTTCTACTCGTTCTTTTCTGATTTTTCTAATTCTAATTTATATTTTTATTTTACAGCTTTTCTAATTCTCTTAATTTCTTTTACCTCATTTTGAAATGTTTGCTTATGTTTTTTATGTTATCTACATATGTTTTTCTGGCATGCTTTCATTGTCTGTAGTAACATCACTATTTTTCTTATTCTCTTTTCTCTATTAATAATTATGATATTTATCTTGTTACTAAGTTTTAAAAATTATTAATTTAGTTTTAATGTACTTTTAGGAGGCATAAGTGGGTTAAGATAGGTTTACCGGTGTCATAGTTCCAGAGTTCATTCCTCTGTTGTTCTAATAAAATGATTAAAAACAATATCACTTATTAACTGTGAGATCAGATTCCTCTGTTTCCCTTCTCATTCCCTTTAATTTGGACCTCCTCTTTCATCACTTGTGGTTGTCCCTGACCTGCTCAGTTTGAAATCTGTTCTCAGCAGATTTTCCTCAGTGTGGATTCTTGCGGAAGGCTCTTCAGTTTGTTAGCAATGAGACCACTCGATAGCATCAGCTCTTATTGTGTTACAGTGCTCTTGAATTCCCTGTTGCATTGGATCATTGAGAATACACTTCTAGTCATTCTTGCTCCTCTAAGATTGGACCACTGCACTTTCCAGTAAGTACCTGTTGGGAATTTTGAGATTTTCCTGTTCTCAAGGCTTTCCTTCTGCCTCTTCTTGAATGGTTGCTAATGTCACATGACCCTTATAAGCTGTCACTAAATTGTCCCTAGGTAATTATGGGAGTATTTCGGCTCTGAGTTTTGTTACAGGTGTTGTCCATGATGCTTCAGTTTTGCTTTGACTATTTTAATAGAATAATTTTGGTAGATTCAAAAACTATGAGATCACTGCCACTATATTTATAGAACAGTAACATTTTAAAACACCAATCAGTTTTAATCATTCCTTTGAGTCTTTGATTACTCTTTATCAACTATATGATGAAGTGTGCTATATAGTGCAGTTTTCAGGGACTTTCATGAACAGATCACTGGGTTCTCTCATCACTCCACAGCTGCAGCTTGTGATTAGCTTAGTGTAAACTGCTGGTATATCCTTTTTTATACTTCTGTCTTTTTTCACAAACTCATTTTTTTTCTTGGAACAGCCTTTTTTGTTTCTTTAACTGGCAAATGTGTTTTTGAACTGATGGTGTCTATTCAGTCATCACCAATAATCACCCACTCTTCCATGCAGTTACCTCTCTACATGTTTGTTTTAGTTTCGTAGGGGTACGATAGCAAAGCACCACAAACTGGTAGCTTAAACAACAGAAATTTATGGTCTCCCAGTTCTGGAAGCTAGATGTCTGAGATCAAGGTTTTGGCAGCGTTGGTTCCTTCTAAAGGCTGTGAAGGAGACTCTATTATATGCCTCTCTCCTAGCTTCTGGTGGTTTGCTGTCAATCTTTGGTATTCCTTGGATTATGAATGCACCACCCAATCTCTGCTTTTATCTTCACACGGTGTGTGTGTCAGTTTGTGTTCAAATTTTTCCTTTTTATGAACACATAGTCATATTGGATTAGGACCTACTGTAATGATCTTGTTAGGTAGATGGGCAATGGGAGCAAAGGCCCAGTTCTGTAACCATAGAAGTCTCCTTTGAAGACTTTCATTAAGGACCTCCCAGGAATACCAACGCCTTTAGGGTTATAAATTAACCCAAATCCTAGGGTACAAAGGCCATAAAATCTGCTGGCTTAACCAGCCACAAACGCTTGCGCAGAAAGTACTACCCTACCCTACTCTGACCATCATAACCTCAGCCTCATTATACCATCATTATAATATCATGCCTATGCCCGGAAGTTTATAATTCTAGTTATAACAGACTGAATTCTGGGTAATTGCATGCACAGTATGCAAGGAGTTATATAACAGCCAAATGACACACAAAATGACCTCACATACCAATCACCCAGGAACACCTTTATAACCACCTATCACAGCCCTAATATAATACAGACCTTCCCACTTCTGTGCTGTTACAGCTCTCTCTGCTGAAAACCTGCTCCTCCCTTGGAGCATACTCCGTCTTTTATCTTTTATCTTTTCACCTTCCAAGTTCCACAGGGCTGCAGCCTTCCTTAGCGTGGCCTGTCTCCTTCTAAAATGTACTTTTAATAAATCTTCTTCTAAATCTCACTGACATGTAATTCATTATGACATTGGTGGGGAAGAACTGAGGACCTGCCCCCGCTTCACACCCATGCTGCTGTGGCGACACTGGATTTCGCATCACCCCAGCAGTAACAATCTCATCTTAACTTGGTCATCTGCAAAGATCTTAATCTGTTTCCAAGTAAGGTCACATTCACAGTCTCAGGGCATTAGGACTTCAACATCTTTTAAGGGGACACAATTCAACCAATAATATTCTTTTATCACTGTTTGATTTTGTTCACTCTATGACTTCTCCTCCCCTGCTTGGTGATTTCCAAATCTGAATCTCTCACTCCAACCCTTACCTGAGATCCTAACCTGTATGTCCATCTGCTTACCATATGTCCATATGCTTTCTAGACTTCCCACAGGTATATGAAAACAAACATATTCAAAACATCTTATTAGCTTCTAAATTTGTCCCATCTCCTATACTGGTAATCCACACCACCATTCATTCAGTCATTTAAGCAAGGGGCCTAGGGGAGGGCTAGGCTCTTATCCCTCTCCATTTCATAAAAGACTGTGTTCCGAAACTTTTATTTCCTTGATTTTTTTTTTTCTCTTCTCTTTTCTAAAGTCTGATTCTCTGGGTTTCTGTTTTGATTCTGTAACCTACTGGAGTATGACCTTAGGCTTAACATTTCTCCGCCTTAGTACTTCCTACTTTACAGGGGGAGAATAGCAGTATTGATTGCGTAGGTCCATCTAAGAATCGAATAAAATAAAATTAA